ACCGCGCCTCCCCCGCTGCCGGTACTTGCTGCCTGTGCCTGCAGCTCGAGCGTCGGCACAGGAACAGCTGAAGTACCGCCTCTGGGGTACTCTCCGTTCCGTACTCTCCTCTGTTCCTCAGCCTAAAGCTAAAGCTAGACCGGTTAGTGTTACTGTGCTACTTACTGTAACGAAGCACAAAAAGGGCGGGTTACTACTTAACGTTTCTTAGAGAAATGTAGGCATTGGGGAAGTGATTCAATAATGGACGACTTTAGTGTAGCTCAACTGCAACCAGCTTCTTATTTACACCTACCAAGCTCCCTTTCCTTGCTCTTGGTGACTTTTGCTGGCGTTGTGCATTTCTTCAATTCTGTCCCACCACATAGGTAAAAAATCCAGTTACGGCAGCTTTCCCTTTGGCTTTGTAACAAAGCACTACCTCTGGTCTCAATCTTCTGCAGCTGGCTGAATTAACAGGAAACAAACAGGATTAAAAACCAGCTAACCTACGTTATGAGATGAATTAGAAATTCCACTGCATTTGCTACCTTACTAGTCAGATGAAGTCAGCCCCTCTTTTCACTAATCGGGACTTTCAAAAACAGAATCGAAGTGATTTTGTCCAAGATGCAAATTGTTTTCCAGTTCATAGGTCCACCGCTCCTATTTTGTTGTAGAGTTTTGTTCTCGGGCAACTGCTTGAAATAGCAGTCCAGAAACCAATGGAAAATAACACTTGCTCTTACTCAACAGGCCTGCCATCGTACAGTGACTTGACTTCTATTGTAGCAGTTCTCGTCACTGCTAATGACGATAGTACTGCTAAGGAAGACTATAGGCCACTAGCAACGTGCTCAAATCTCAAAGTTGTCCCCACTTTTTAGCAAGTGATTATACTTCCCAAGGTCCCTTCCAGTATGAACTAATTCACGACGTAAGTCAGAGTGCTTCAAAAGTCTGTCTTGAGTTTTTAAATCAAAAAGGTATTTTCAGTTCTCAGAATAGCATGCCACATCTACTTTTGTAAATTTGACAATCCCACCCCTTTCAATCAGCATATAAATGTCCCCCTTATTCAAACATAAGCACAAGTATAGAGGGGACTTATTCATGGGACCAGAATTTTATGTGTTATACACAAAAAAGAGGTACTTTCTGGAAAATTCAGTCTCATTCCTCCTTACTTTTTAGGTTCCAAGCAGAGGAGACCTTCATATTAATGCCCTGTAAATCACACAAGTAACAAAAGAAGTATTCACCTTTTGCGTTGTTATTTAAATATGAACTTAAATCTGCAAAATAAATACAAAAATCAACACAAATATTGCTTGTGAAAACAATGAGAAAACATGACAGAACAATGAATGGTCATACAGAAGTTTTTAATGTTTGATTACATCATCACAGTAACCAGAATTTTTACTGTAATGATATGCAGCTCTACCACACTATTATAAATAAAAACATTAAGATCAATATTAAATACAGCTCTAGGCAACATCACAGATTAACAGAGAATGCATTCTTCATGAACCAGTAACTGCATGGTTTTTAAAAAAAAAAAAAAAGAAAAAGAAAAAAAAATGCTGATGCTTTCCCCCTCCCATCCACCACTTTTTTTTTTCAAATTCATAACTTGAGTAAGGCGCTGGAAGTTTTACGTTAGAAAATTTTTGTTGCACAGCACAGGCACGCATACTTCATTATCAAACCTCTTAACGTATGTTTACCAGAAGACATTTTAAATGTCAACAGGGAAAGCTTAGCAGGTAAGAAGAGCAAGCAGAGATGCACGATTCATATGCAGCACTCGGGATCCATATTGAAATTATAAAACACAGCAGGGGTGTGAACTGTATTTTAATTTACAGTACAGTCTGTAGAATTAGATGCAAGTTAATACAGTACACATAGCAGTGTTTTATGAAAACATCAAATGGCAGAGGTTTCCAACCGATGTAAAGCAATTTTTATACGTGTAGTGCGTTTATATTCTTCCACTGTAGAAAGAAATTAGACACCAGAAATCAGCATCACAGATAACTTCCAGAGCTGCCTTCTGTAAATGGGCCAAATCCTGCTCTTTGTGAAGTTGCTCTTCTGTAAAGATTCTTCAGGCTTATGCAATGTACATTTTTGAAACACTAGCACTGACTTCACGTGGAAGAATACAGCTAGCTGCTGCAACGCTCCCATGTTAACACAGCCCCAATGCCTGTTTCAGTTCCAAACCTGTTTTTAATACAGGGGCTGATCACCACGAGCCTACTGGCACCTTTCACTTTCTACTGGTTCCAGCTGCTGCAAGAGATGAGATGATGAGATGTAGATGGCAGTTTTATACTCAGAAAAATCAGTAAAAATTCAGCAGAGCACTTAAGCACAGGCATTATTTTGGAGCTTGCCAGAAGTACCAGAATTTCATTTCAGTATGTTACTGTACTTAAGATAAAGTCATACCGAGTACTTTGTGAATAAAGATGTTTGAGGTAACACTGATGAATGCCTTAGAGATACCTAGGATTATTATTTTAGACTTTTAGCAGTTATATTTTCGCAGTCTTGTGGGCATAATTGTTAAAAGAAGGACATTTTAATCTAACCCCATATTATAAAGCATGATTTTTGTCAGCCAGATTTCTTAATTTTTTTCCTCCCAACTTTAGGCTTATAGCATATTGCCTTTTTTCCTCTGTATGTGTTTGTGGTGGTGGTGGTTTGATAAAATGAATATGAAACAAACTAATCTAGTGACTGGAAGGAAGAAAGTAAAGAAGTCAGGGATCTGTCAGTTCACCTGCTAGTGTTGTGTGTTGCTGCTGAATTTTAAAGTCCTGCCAAAATTTCAAGTACTGGATTCGATTCTGCCCCGCTGCTCATCTTCTGTGGCTAGGTATCATTTACATCTCTATATGCTTGGGGGGAGTGGGGGGGGGGGGGGAAGGGTCAAAAGCAATCTAATAATTATAGTTGCTTTCTTCCTATTATTTTAAAACCCTGCAGTTTTTTAAAATAAAATTTTAATATTACTGTTCCAGTTATCTGCTAGTAAAGGAAAAAGGAAATCTCAAGGTAACGGCAGTGAAAGTTGCATTTGAAAATGCTCTTAGATGGATGTTGGATCACAAAGAAACCATTTTGTTTAAACCCTTCATCTAGTTGTAAACATTTGCTAATCCTCCATTACTTGCAGAGGATTATGAATTATTCTATAAAATCACATTAAAAAGGTAATTAGTTATGTGAGATATTAACTGATTCATATTTAATAATTTTTTAATCCATACAAATATAAATAAAGAATGGTAAAACTTCAAGAAAAATAATATACATTTAGTGCAAGTTATGAGTTAGATTTCTTCCTACCGTGTCAGCAGTGGAACGTCTTTTGTGGAGAAGAAAAAATAAAAATGACCGTTTTCAAATTTTACAGGGGGGGGGGGAAGATCTCCAGTGTTGTAGCATGCAGTTTTTACCAGATACACGTATACAGAATTGTTCCAGCTCTTAACTAGTAGAATAGCAGTATTTTTCCTTATACTGCACAACATTGGTATATATCGTAGTGTTTTCAATAATACAAAAAATTGCATAAGACCAGGTCGCATTATTGATAACTTTCTGCAGCAAAAACAGTCTTTTTCTTTGAAATGCTAGTTTCATCTGGTTTTTCTCACATCACGACAGCAGATGGGTTGAAAGAAGTCTCACATGGTTCCTGCACGGTGTTTACTACCTGTTCAGTCTGTTTTTGTCGCAGTGGATCTGTACTGCCCCAAGCATTTCATGATGTACAAACTTACACGTTTAATGGCACAAGAAAAACCTCCCTTCTTGTGATCAAACCTCAGTAACTCACAGTACATCTCAATATGAGAAACAACTGCTTCAAAAGGGCACACCAATTTTAAAGAGGCTTTGTTACGGCTCAGGAGAGAGAGAGAGAAATAAAGCTCTTCTGGAATGTAGAAAGGTGACGTGAAATAATTATACGTTTCGTGAGTTAACACAACAGTTTTCAATGGTAAAAAGGGCAAGACCTTTCAGTCTCCGTAAGATGGCTCAATTCGGAATGATCCCTCCAGAAACAGGGACTAATAACACATCTCTTCAATGCTGAAGTACCAGGCTGGGGCTGGAGAATTGCGCCACCTCGCACGGCTCACCCACTGCACTATCATGGCAGACCTGACGTCTCGGGACGCATCCAGTGCAGGACAGCAGCTCTCCCTTCCCACGCTCCCATCAGCCTTCCTCCTCGCCACATACTCCCCCAGACCAACTCCTGATTTCCAGCAGCACTGTTACGCAAAAACCCAGCTATCGTCTCTGATTTTAGGAGCATCCCCCAGACTAAAGTGTTGTGCTATTCAACAAATGAACCTCCTCTTCCGTTTCCTCTCTCTCCTCAGCTATGGGTTTCAGTTGAACATTATTGAGGCGGGGTCTTGGTTTGCCGTCTGGGCCATATGACGGAGGATATCTTTTTTTGTTATAATGCCAAGGAGGCGCCTGAAAAGGATAAATGGAAGATCGATATTAATCCAAGCAGGAAAAGAATAAAGCGGAACAAATCTGTAGCCAAGTCCTTTTTGTTGACAGGAATAGAGCAAAAGTAAACAGCCTGATTTTCTTATTTAAACAAAAGCATTTTATTAATCAAAATATTGAGGAACCACCAGTTTGTTAAAAGACAGCAATGCTGAGACACCATAGCAGATGGTCTCTGACAGCTGTAGTCCGTTTTAATGAAATACAAGTGATACAAGTAGAGCCCATGACAATTTTTATTTAACTTTTTGTTTCTACAAAAATGAGATTTTGATTAGCGTATGCCAACAAAAAAGTAACAAAGAGGGACAAAGAAAAAAGAGGTATGAAAAAGAAGTGATATTGATCCCATTTTGTAAGGGAGGCACGTTCCAACCTAGCCATCAGAAGTGACGTACCGCTTGATGGCCCAAAATCCTAATAGCAAATCAAACTGCCCTCCATTTTTAAATCGTAAGGATCCTTCCAGTCTGACGCACTGGCTCAGGCTGAACGTTATTCATAGGAGCACACTGTATTAGCCATGAAACTTTTGTAAAATAAACAATAGTTAACTAGGTTTTGGAGGTCACAGCTTTAGAAAATAAACCGTGAATAATACAAGAACATTTTCATTTTCCAGTTTAGATACTGTGTTCTTATGACAGGGTCTTCATGGCTTTTAAAATTATAACTCTGCAAAATATCAAAAAGGGTGAGACTGTCCAAAAGGATAATATCACAGGAGAAGCAAAGAGCAGAATGAACGAGCTGCTGCCCTTGTTATTCTGGTTAGTACATTTCGTTTTGTCTTATTAAAGGACGCATGAAATACTTGTGAAATATGAGCATAAAATGAGAACGTAGTTAGCATGTTTTGCACGTAAGCAGCTAAACTCGGTGGGTAGGTTTAGTAGAGATGTAACTAGCAACCCATGTCCAAATTAAGCCAAAGTCTACCTTCTATCTAAGGTTAGTTCACAACATCATGGTTAAAACAGTATCTAGATTCTGAAGTCAACAGTCGACGTAGTAGCGTGCCACGTAGTGGCTTAGGATATCACTGAACGTTTTGTAAAGGAGTACATCAATTGCTGTAGGTAACAGCAGCGGAATCACAGGACTTTACTCAATATAAGAGTACTTTTAAAAAATCATGTTGATAAAGGGGGATTACAGGGAAGATCTAATGCTGTGATACATTAAAAACATGCTTGGCTTTGCTTCTCAGAAGACATGATACTTACTTTGCTATTTAACAGCTATTTAAAGCTGTCAAGATCAGAAAAAGAAATTTGCATGTACAAAGATCTGAATTTGCATTAAGAAGGGAAAAAGTATTCCTAGCTGCATGCTTTCCCACCTGGGGAAATCAGCAGATCAACTAGATGGATCTATGTGATCTCAAGAACAAAAATACCAGAAAGTCTATTGTTTACTTCCCTTTAATGTTGTGACTAACAGTATGTCCATATTAACAGCTTAATTTCTACAAAAGGATTTTGCAAATATTGTTTCATGTTTTAATACAAATTTTTAGCATATGATGATTTCATTGTTCAGCCGATGTCATAAAAGCCCTGAACAGTTCACAAGTTTCATGCTTCCTGACTTCTAATGTGTCTAATTATGAGATCTGATATATCTAATCACCAAGGGTTCGACGTGCTGCTTTAGTTGCTCGAGATGCTCTAATATGTTCTTCTTTGTGATGATCCCCAAGACAATCCTGAAACAGATCATGTTATGCTAATAACTGTGTGTGAAATCAAATAAAAAAAAAGTTCTAATCATAATGAGAAAGGGTTAGAGTAGAGCAAAACTAAAAAAAAAAAAAAAAAAAAAAAAGTTGCAGGAAAGCTAATGAGATAATTAAATGAAAAATGATTTCAAAGTCAGTACCCTTTCCCAGACATTGCCTTTTTTCTTTTTCTCCCAAAATGATTTTGAACACAATTGGATCTTGAACCACCCCAGAGCAGTATGTTTCTCGTATCAAGTACACGTCAGGGAAGCATACTTCATCCCTTCTCCCCAAATTCACGTCTCTTCAGGTTTTAGAGGCACTGAAACTAGAATCTGCTTTATTTCCTTTGTTTCATAGTTATTTCTCCTCACACACGCAGATCATTATTCATGTTTTAACAAGCCACAGTAGACAAACAAAGTAGTAACTGTGTAAAGTCACAGCAATTGAGGTTTGAAGCTGCACTATAGAGCAGGGTTATCTGGTGTCCCTAGAAACAGACATATTCAGACAAATTTCTCATTTGTGACAGTATAAATCACGAGCAACTTCCTGAAATGGACATTCTGGTACAAATTAGGAAGAGTGAGACTCAGGTCTTAATGTATCTCTGCGTTTGTCATCAGCACCAATTTCTGCACAGTTCCTATTCCAATCTGGATTGGAACCAGTAAGTTGATGTGTGTCTTTACGTGGGTATATTCAATTTGCAGGAAACTTGCCAAAATCTAGATTAGTGCTTGATGCCACGTGGCTATACGTCATGGCTAAATACCACTAGTACGAGTATTTACTATCTGATCTTGTTGTAATGGACAGCGTACTCATGGAATATCACAAGTTTGTAATTGAATTAGGACAACAAATATGAATGTCTGAAAACAGTGAATTACTAAAGCCATCTATACTTGCTGCTACTTTGTCATAAAATAGTTTAAAAATTATAGTAGACTTCAACATAGCTTTGCACGATTAAGCTTTCTTTAGAGCCAGTTTTAACATCAATGTCAATGTTTGGGCACTCAACCACAACAGAAATGAAGAAAAAAAAAAATCATAGTAAATATTCTTCACTGAAGTTTTATCAGTTCAAATTTCCCTCCCCAAAACAAGAATAATTGCATGCCTGCACTGACGACAACATGTCAGATCATGATGTCCTTTCTCCGTCAGAGAAAGGTTTTTTAAGTCATTTATGCTTCTGAAAACATCTACTCGCCATTCAATACAGGGATGCATTGAAGAGAAAAAAGCAGGAGAACATTTAAAATAAATTTGTTTTAAAATAAATCTGAAAAAATAAACTTGGAAACCAATGTGATATTTAAATATTTGCCACTCATAGCAGCAGTCCTTTTGCCCACAGCGAAACAAATAAGTCCCACCCATTTCAGGTTTCTCGGGTTTTGTTCTCTGGACAGTGATCCTAAAGAATGCAGGTGAGCAGACAATGTTTCACTCCCCATGTGCCTTAAAAGAAGTGCTAAAGCGAAAGCAAGATACTATGGTAGGAGCTGCAATGTTGTGTGTCAAGTGTTTAATGCAAGAGATACAAGAAAGCAGAATGTTAAAGGAACAGCTACACAGAAAAAGATCATGTAAAAAAAGGAGCAGTTTAGATAAGAGGCAATTATAATGAACATTTATGTTTCCATGCCTAGGGCTGATTTATTTAGTGGGTAATCACATGGCAACTCCCTATAGTCTCATTTACAAACATTCTAAATCTTAAAATTACTTTCTTGAAATATTTTGAAGTGCAGAAACAAAGGTTGCAGATCGAAGTTCCAGAACTAGTAGCAGTTATTTAGTTGTTACTATTCCAAAATCAAGGGCTTGGTGGTAATCCCCATCAGTAAACTCCGGAAGAGGAGATATTGACTGGATCATTTTCTCCCTTACTTTTTACAAACCCAGATGTTTGCAGATGTTCAATAGCTGATACACTGCACATTGCCAGAACACATTCAAGAATGAGGAAACACAGGCCTTGGACTGTGCACCACGCAAGACTTAATTTCTGCGAGAAAAGTTGTCTCCCCTCCACATGCAAGTTGCACACACAAAACTTGCTGAATGAAAGCTAATTTTTAAAAGAACATCTTAAAATGACTGAAATCACCTGCCTGCTCACTTGGAATACAAGGGAGGAGTAAGAATTTAAGAGAGGTGCCACAGCACAGCACCTTCTTAGCGAACAGTTGGGGTCCTCGGTTGCAGTACCAAACTTACGGGTTCAGATACCATGGTCCTGGAATATATCCTGGTTCAAATACTCTGATCCTGGAAGTGAAAATTACTGTATCTAACCAAATGAACAGCATTGCTGCCATTTTACTCACCCATTGTGTGTTACAAGGCACTGCCTCAGACCCAGCTTGCGGAAAATATCCACCACTATTTCCATGGGTGTGTGGTCTGTCACGGTGAAAGGGCTCATATCAAGTATGCTTCTAAGCTTCAAAGGTCGAGGGCTTTCTGCTGGAAGCGATGGGGTATGCTGGGCAAAACAGACCCTGGAACTGCCAACAATCCCTTCCTGCTTCTTTCTAGCACTTTCTTTAAGAAAAAGAGGGGAGGGGGGAAACAGCAGAGGAGGAAGAATTTACATTCTTGGAGTAAGATAATTTAGTGCAACAGACAGATCAATCAACGCTACCAGGCTCTGATGTTATTCTCTAGATGCTGATATTCTGATATATGCTATTTTGATGTGTCTCCATAGCCACTGCCTTTTCCTTAAGAAGTGTTTGTGCAGGAATCACAAAAGCCACCTACCATACAGCTTTAGCCATTCTTTGGCTACTACCTTTCTCACTCCATAAATAACTTTTATTTATTATAAAGAGGTGGAAAGACTTAAAAACTAACGTACACGAAGTACATAGATGGCTGCTGAAGAAACTGTCAAGGGGAAAGCCAATCTCAACTGACAGCTCCCCTGTCATGATTCCAATGGCTGTAATTATTGGTGGTTTGACAAAGAACACATTTCTGATCGCTCTGAAAATGTTGTCTTCTTGTTTATAATGAATTTATTTAGCTTTGTGTGAACTGGATCCTCTTCCTTTTCATGTCTTCATCACCTTGGTGACATCAGCATCCCTCCCTGCACCCTAAACTATTTCACACAACTGACTCTCTAAAGGCAGCCAAAACCCAAGACTAAGCAACTTGCACTGTGCAGTCTCAGCAGCTGAAATGAGTCTTACCCGTGAAAGCATATTATTAGAAGAGCGTTCTGCTATTCCCCCATTTACTCTTAAGTGAATGCAAACTTAAAACAGTATCATGTTTATAATAATTTCCAAGTTTTGGACATTCTGATACATCCTACGTAGTGTAGTACCATAGTATACACAGTATTAAGACCACAGGTGAAAGTTTTGCTGAAGTAAACAGTGTTGTGTTCACAAAGCACTTTTTTAAAAAGGTTCGGGAGACTTCTGTGTCTCCTTCTCAAGTGTCATAGTTAAAGAGATCCTTGTCAATGTACAATCTTATGAATTACGAAAAAAAAACCCACGGTTGCTTAAGATGCAACTTCCATCACTGATTTCATGCACCAAATGTTACAGTTTTGTAACATTTTCTTACATAATAATGATTTTTTCCTTTGGTTATGGTAGTATCCTCAAAATCCACAGAATTTTTCTTGCCAGTGCACAAAACGTTGTCGCAAGTATCACACAAGTTCTAACACTCACCCAGAGAAAGAGGGCCCAAACAGGGCTTGCGTGCTTATGTGCCCAGGACCAAATTTCCCATTACACAAACAAATTGAAACACAGAAACCTAAAATAATTACTACTTCACTTCTCTCTTCATAATACAATCTTAGTTGTTATAACAACAGTAAATCACATACTGTCAGAGAAGTACGATATACATTTAAATTTAAAAATGACTTGGATAGTAATTCTCACAGAATCCTGCTGTTCTAAAATAAGAATTACTCAATTTTGAAGAAGAATGTTAATGTAACGTCACTTGAGGAAAACAGATACTAGCAAAACCCTCAAAACAAACAAAAATACTGGACTAGATGACATTTTGGCCTGCTTCAGTATGACAACTCTTGTTTTTTTATGACAGAGATTAACATTTTCTCCATTTCAGAGCCTGCTATTGAAGATAATCATATACTTCAATAAAGGAACAGACAGCCTGTGCAAGGTATCCGAACCTGAAATAAGTCGAGACACACACAGAGTAAATTCTGTTTTAAGCTATAAAATCATTTAAATTGGCATATATAATCATGCAATACTGGAAGATAATTACCTATTGCAATAGTTAAATCTCTTCTTAGAGCAAAGCCCACTAGTCTCTGCGATTCTTTTGACATAATAACAGGAAAACCATTATAGCTGGTTTCATTGATCAAGTTTTCTATGTCTTCGACTGTCATATTATCTTGCGTCAGAACTGCTAAAGGTGGATCGCTTCTTCGAGGTCTCATAACATCAGCAGCCAGCGTTGTGTGAGTAAATTCTTCCTTTGCATCCAAGAAAGGGTATCCGTTCAGTCGGATGTGTGCCTCATAGATGCCTTCCCTACCAAAGGCATCTCCTACCCACTTACTGGTCATGACTGCAGCCATTAGGGGCACAATATATTCCAGCCCTCCTGTTAGCTCAAAGACAATAACTACCAGGGACACAGTCATCCTTGTCACGCCACCTGCAAGAAAAATGGTAGCCAGTAACATTCTAGTATCAGATAACAATGGATTTAGAATTTCCTGCCTTCCTGTTGAGAACTACAAACATAACTTTGCCATTAAAGGTCATCTGACAAATATCATTCTGTATAATGCAAACAGAAGCAGACAGGAAAAATGAACACAAAACTTCTAGAAGTAAAAGTGAGCTTTAGGGAAAACTCCTAGAAAGTCAGAGAATAAAGGGATTCGAAAAATATGTGCAGTTCTTTCACATAAACTAAGAATAAAACAATGTATTTCTCCGTACCACACCTAGGTTAAAAATACTGAGAAATGCAAGGAAATCCAGTAAGATAAGAATTTGGAAAAAGAATGGAAGTAACGCAGGGAAGTCACAGGCAGCAGCTCAGCAGCTATGTTGTCCAAAGGATTAGGAATTTAATGCTGTTGCTGAATCAAAAAAGCTAAAGAGAATTCTGAGCTGATGAAATACCTTTCTTGGACAAGGGGGGAAGACAAGGATTGTATTTCTCTTTTGTTAGTATTCAAGATGTTTTTTCTGCCAAGGTTTCTGATGCTGTATCTTCAGTCAAAGAATACGATCTTTCTTTCAATGCATTTGAAAGTGATTCAATTTGATCTATTAAAAGACAAAACCACCTCTCCAAAAACTAAATTTGTACCACTAGTTTATTTGGTCACTCAAAAGCACTTTTCCTTAAGGAAAAGGTCTACTTTTTTGCAGAATCTGTACTAATAGCTTTTAAGTTTAATTTCTAAGGCATTAAAGTTATAAGCTAGGACAAGACGAGACCTTCAGAAAACCTCTCCTAGTTTAGGTGCCCAACTTAAGCCTCCTTCCATGAAGCTGATTTTCAACAGTTTGTAAATCAGACTTGTTAAAAATATCTCAACCTGAACTCCTCGAATCATCAGACACTTCTGAAAGTTTTGTTTGGATTATGAATGTCAAGAACATTTTTAGCAATTCATGTAGATGTGGCAGCTGATCACGTCACCTCCTTGTAATAATTTCAACAGTACTTGACTCTGCAAATCCTCTACTTCATACGTTTCAAGAAGCTGATTTTTCTGACTGATGTAGTAATGACACCTCTTGATACCAAAAAGAGAAAGCAAACACTACTATTTAAATTCTATTTTTTATCAATTTAAATTTCACGTTATTCCTCAGATCACAAGGATCTGACCGTCTCGTGTAGAGATGTGAATGTATTATTCTGAAGAGAGAGAAGTCCATATAAAAAGGTGTTCCAAAACTGCACACGTTTATATCTTCCTTCATTTTTAATCATTATTTTGGCAGCATACAAGGAATCAGATACTTATTTACTTTGTTATATTTTCGTTACCTAAGCACGCAGCAGCACCAACCATGGCATAAAGACCAGGTGTAATACAGTCAGCTCCAACTTCACACCACTCCTTGAAAATGAACCAGTCATGATGGTAGTAAGCCAGCTGCTCCACTGCAATTCCTACAATCCTTCCTGCTATTGCTCCAATTGCCATACTAGGTATGAACAACCCAGATGGAACCTGCAACAGAAACAGAAGAGCTGTTGTCACGCTGATGGAACATACCTGATGCATAGTTTTACAAGTTTGTTTTTTTTTTCCCCAAAAGAGATGCAAATGCTCAAATTGTCATGTTAAAAACATGTAAATTGACATTGCAAGGTTAGTAAAACTTAACACAATGCTATTGATACCTCTGATCAACCTGGTTAGCTGAATCCATTTTACGAGCACGTTTGTTTGCATTTTACTGTACACTTAAGAGCAAATCTGTCGCCAACACAGGACCACAAACCAGACTCTCAGTGCCAACAGCACAATTTTTACCATATGTGTGTCCAATCTGAGCTGCGCTACTAGTACTGAAAAGTCAGCCTTACTATTTCCCAACTCCCCTATTACTTCATGTTCCTCTGAGTCAACATTCACTTACTAAACAAGCTTTGCACATAGGACTGCCTTCCCAAACTGCTTCCTAACACTGCTATAAATTAGATGGCCAACTAAACAGGTGATTTTTAAAAGAAGGTTTGCTTACTATATTGCAGTTTCCCGTACAAAGTTGTGTATATAGAAGGCTAAATAGAAAAGAAAAAGGCAGGACAACTCCCATTGCAAAAAGTAGGTAACACATTACTGTAAAAAAAAAAGTTCCAAATGTAATTTTAGTTATTTAAACTGTTTTTCTGTTATTAACTAAAACCTGAAAAGGCCACAGAGCCTTGTCATACCAACACAGCTTAGTAAAATATTACTGCAAGGCTTGCTTTTATCAGCAGCTTCATAAGGAGTGAGGGTTCATCTGAGAAACTGCTGTTGTGTATCTTTTCTCCTCCTTAGGAAGCTAATCTTCTTTCCAAAAAACATACTGGTGTCTAAATGTCTCATTAAACTGGAAACGCCCACTGCTTCTCCTCACAGCAGTTGTTAGTATCAAAATATTTTCTACTGTGACTGAGGTACAGGTCTGACTACAAATAAGTAGTAGAATTTTTACTTTTTGTCTAAACACCTAAACCCATCTTGTCAGAATACCTTCATTAAAAAATGGCACTGCTGATGTAACAGGACACATAATTTAATTTTTTTCCACTGTACAGCTGTGAAATTTCAGTATTGTGCAATTGCAAACTATAGATTTTGCCATGGAATCCAGTAGCTGGTGCAGAACTGTATTTCAGAATCTATTTGCATCATCATCATTATTATTATTGCCAATATTTATGGTTGCAAAGATGATTTCTAACAGACAAACCAAGGACAAACAAACATAGCAAACTTTGTGTTTGAAAGCCAGCAGCACAGGTTTTGGGGAAAAAATTTAATGATCCTTCATTCCCATCCTAAATTACCTAATATTTCAGTGTTGATAGAGGTAACTATTCAATGCTATCATTTTAGTGCAATATCCAAATTGTGCATTTATACCACTACTGTTATTTCCCACAATTAATCATGCATCTAAACGCCTTTCTAACTGTTAAAATCCAAATTTTTTCTTGAGTGAAATTCTTCCTCGGTGAACAGTTCAATAGCACCCTGAAAAAATAAAATTTCAGATATAAAAGTAATGGAATAAATTTTTGAAACTGCCTCAGATTCTAGTCTGCTACAGCAGCACGCCACAGAAATTCAGTCTCCACATGGAAATTACATCCACATTGTTTCTAGTCCTTTGTTAACCTAACTTTTTTATGCATCTAGCTCCTTCTCTTCTTTCCATCACATGTGGATAATGGTTACCAGTCTAACTGTAATTATGATTTTTCAGCTGCATTCATTTGCATAAGCCTCTGAATCACAAGTCACAAAGTGGTGAGGAACCTTCACTGAGAAGGAGCAAGGGAAAAAAGTTAGGTTCTGCCTTGTCTCAGCTTTCTTCTTCAGTGCATGCCAGCCTAACTCAAGTTATACTACAGAGGAAAAGATTTATTCTGTGGCACATGTATCATCTTGGAAACAAGCAAGGAATCGGGATATGGGTGCAACTTTCCACTTTTTTGGTAGTGCAGTTGCATACCAGTCAGGTTCTGAGGCAAAGCTGTAAACCCACCCCAACTGTTGATCATCAGCATTTAGACACAGTAATGAGTCTACTGATAATAAGCAGTACAGTAGAAGTACAAAACCTGGAAAGAAAATAAAAAACGAAACAAAAGCACCAAACAAACCACTGCCCAATCAGCTTCCTGGTGATCCTTGTTCATGGCAGTAAAAGCAGCAGGA